CTACTGTTTCACTCATTATATTTATTTATTGCTTACATTTTTTTTTTTTTTTTTTTTTTTTTTTTTTTTTTTTNGTGGACGAGCTCACAGCCCACCTGATGTTAAGTGGTTACTGGAGCCCATAGACATCTACAACGTAAATGCGCCACACACCTTGAGATATAGTTCTAAGGTCTCAGTATAGTCACAACGGCTGCCCCACCCTTCAAACCGAAACGCATTACTGCTTCACGGCAGAAATAGGCGGGGCGGTGGTACCCACCCGTGCGGACTCACAAGAGGTCCTACCACCAGTTATTACAGTTACATTAGGTAAATGTGCTCACGACTACCTTGTGACAAGTTTATTTTTTATTATATTTTATTGCATACGTGTGTGGATGAGTTCACGGCCCACCTAATGTTAATTTGTTACCGGACCCCATAGACATCTACAACATAAATGCGCCATCCACCTTGAGATATAAGTTCTAAGGTCTCTTGTTGCTTGATTTTCATTTTGTTTGTTTTTTATTTTATTACTAAACAATGCATAGAGATCGCCCTAAAGACCGCATCGCTTCTAAAAGCTCTTGAGTTTTTGCATTATACTTTAAAGTCATCTTCCATTTTCGTTACCATAGACGTAACTTTGACGCGGCATTAATTAATTAAAGCTATTTCCTTTCTTTTTCTTCTTTATTATGTATTCAGTTAATAAAATATAATCCTTTAAAAATAGATTTTAAGTAAATTTTTGATAATTATTGAAACTGCTAGGCATAGTAAATTAGTCTTGCCGATGCGGACATTATTTTGCATTCCAAACTGTTTTTTTTTTCCTATAAACTATTTAGTTTAACTTAAAACATGTTTTAATAATATTCTAAAAAACGACATTAATCATAGGATTCGGTAAGATTGTTGCTGTTTTTGAATTGTTTATTAAAATGTCTATCTAGCACGAGATGAAATTTAATATAGGCTTTTCTGCAATGACGCAACATTTTTAGCTGCCATGAAGCGTGCTGGTAAGAAGTAATTGATTTGATAGACCAATACATAATCATGGAAATTACTTTAACTTATTTTTTGGAGTTTACTCCTTAAGAATCGATTTACATATATAGGCCCGGGGTATGAAAATTATGGGGACCAAAATCGTACTAGAGAGTATAGCATGTCACACGAAATGCGTTATGCGCCTGATTGGCCAGGTGATGCGTGCGCGCGCCAATCAGGAGCCAACGCGCGGCCGCGTTATCGCAGGTGACGCCGGGCTGCTGCGCCGGCAGTCCGCCACAAAGCCTCGTACTGATCGCGCGTTTCTCTCATTATTGTATTTTCATATATTTGTTAGTCGTTTGTTTTGTGTCTCGTTAATTTGTTAATAATCTGTAGTGTATCGTGTTGTCGTAATATAGAACTATTTCTCGTATTGTTTCGTTTAATTTACCGACATCGTTTTGCTTGTGGCCGGACGCCGTTCGGGTTCGATTCCTGAACGTATCAACTGTTAGTGGGTTGATACCCGAATATAACCCGCTACAAATCATTTATTAATAAAGCTTATTAAATATAAACAATTCCTTCTATCAGTGAATGGACAACTTATATATTAATTGTAAAAGTGAATTATATAGACTTACTTAATTACCGCATCCACGTGTTCCGCAACTCCCGGATCATTCTCACTAGAATACGTAACTTCCATATTTTACTGTATTCAACTGACACAAATTTATATTTATATCCAGTAAACTCCAGTCGTGCGTCGGAGCGGACACACACACTTTTTTTTTTTTTATGGCTTAGATGGGTGGTCGAGCTCACAGCCCACCTGGTGTTAAGTGGTTACTGGAGCCCACGGACATCTACAACGTAAATGGGCCACCCACCTTGAGATATAAGTTCTAAGATCTCAGTATAGTTACAACGGCTGCCCCACCTTTCAAACCGAAACGCATTACTGCTTCACGGCAGAAATAGGTGGGGCGGTGGTACCTACCCGCGCGGACTCACAAGAGATCCTACCACCAGTTTTAATCCAATTCCACTTATATCTAAAACTGTAACAACGAGTTCAAAGTTTAATGAGTACGATCATGTAAAGCGCACAGCATCAATGTTTAACAAAAAATTAGAACATGCTACTTACTAAATCAGTGAATATTTCGTCTCGATCATTTCATATGAATCATCTGTAGGTTAAGACAGAGAGCTATTGATTTTTTTTATTTTTTTTATCAAACTGAGTCAAGAGTGGTTTGAAGCAAATAAAAAGTTTAATTGAAAATGTATAGGAGTCTGATTAGTAACAGCTGAGTAACAATAACCATTTCTCGAGCTGAAACATGGGAAATTAGAAATTGTGATGCTTAGCAGTTGACACCCACACCTTGAATATCGTATACTTAATATTAATGCAGTGAGAGTGAAATAAAAACAAATAAAAAATTTACAATTTATTTATACAACGGAACAATAATTACAATTTTAAGGATCGCTTTATACATATTAGTAATTAGCCATAGATAATTTAATTATAAATAACACGGTTTACGAAAACAAATTGGATCAGTACACACAGAAAAGCTTTCAAACACTTAAACAAAATCACAAGCTTTAGACATGAATCAATCATTTCATAATTGAAACACAGCCTTGACAAATTTTCCATAATATAAATCCAAATAATAGATCCAAAGATAGCCAAATAATCGTTTCGGATGTGACTTAAGCTTGGATTTTGTTGAGGCGAAAACACAAGTTTTGGAAATATCGTTGGTTGAACATATCGTTCAAAAAATTATGAAACGGATAGAAGAAACAATCAAGTAGTTTTACCATCAGCGTTTAAGGTATAAATTACATCGAGGACTGAAAGGCTTTGGCTTAAGCGACATTTTTGCAACTTTACAGGAGATCCATTTAAAGTTTAAAATTTGGAAAACATTTCGTAACAAAAAGACTTCTTCGGCCATATGATTGGAGTAACCTTAAATGAAGTTCAATGAAAACATCGAACTGTTAATGCTAATAAAACGCATAAGAAATTTCGCTTAAGCCAAATGGCCTTTCACTTTTAGATTTATTTCCAGAAAATGATCGTAAAGCACCTAAAAGATAGTGGTCATAATTAAAACTACTTTTACGGTTTAATCTCATATTTATTATTTTCGTTTTATTATTTCCGACTTTTCAAATACTTTACAGCTTTAAAAGTAGTTTTAGATAGTGGATTATGTAAAAGTAATTTTAATTACGGTCACGTCTGGTGAAAACCGAAATATTAGGTAACGGTCAGTAACTGTTGAAAGTAAATTGTTCGTCAATTGCAAAGAACCTTCTTGAACATTAAGTAAAAAGGATTAAGATAATATAGCACAACGCGATTCGTATATTTGAATTAATTTCGGGTTAAGAGACAAGGAAAAGCTTATAATGCTGACAGAGACTACGTGGATCAATCAACTAAAATCATTCAAATTGGATGAACAGAATGAAAAACTCGCCTATATAATCGGAGTAGATGCTAAAGGTTTTAACATAATAAAGTATTTAAGAAATATGATATGGCTAGCTTCTCGAGGAATTATATACAGCGATTGATTTTTTGACGTGACAACGTCTTATAATTCGATGGAGCCGGCTGCACGCACGAAAAAACATGACTCATTGAGGCGTTCCATTTAAGGCTTGAAGTGCAAGCGAGAGCGCGCAACGAGCGACAAAGAGGCACAATCGGCCTCCGCGTTCGGCAGCGTTCGACATCTGTCTCTCTCCTACTAGAGTGAGCGATACATCCGCGTGGACAGCTGCTATACAATACATTTACATGTTTTCGTCGAGTATGAAGTTCAGTGAAAAGTGAATGTGGTGTCAATTGTCCATACAAAATATCTATCAAACAAATAAAATTAAAATTTTCTTTTGAAAAATGAAACCATTCCATCAGTATTTTCTTATGACGTTGTCACGTTCAACTATCGTCAGTAAACCGACTTTACAGACAACCGATTTTTTTTGTTAACAATGTGTCGCTTATAATCTGCTTAACTATTCACAGCGGAGATAGCAAAAAAATTGTTTATTCTCTCAAAGGGAACAATCTCGTACAAATCAACATTAATTATTTACATTTATCGGTAAACTCAATTTTCCGCAATCGTAGCGTTGTTTCCAAGCTTAATGCTTCCAACGAAACACTTAATTTCCGAGAAGCTTACAAATCTGTTTATAACTTCGCGAAGTTCAATTTAATTCTTGTAACTAAAATTCGTTTGCTACTTATCCTTAAAACTTTTTTTATCTCTGTCGAGGACTGAGTATTCAATGAAGATGAAAATTGCAATGCGACTACTGTATTAAAATTTACTTTCTCAAATTATATTAATTAAACAGTATTAATTGAAGATAATATGCTTCTTGGAAATAAAGTGATTCAAAATTAGCAACGGAAACTTAATTACTTTACTCTAATTCGTGGGTATAGAGTTTCAGGAAATTCATCACTGTCTTCAGCTGAATACTCTATCTATAGTTAGATTCACATCGATCACTTACATCGTAACATTAAACAGTCTCTTCCTACGCGTGGACAAAATCGTTACAAAACGGAATGTCTTATTTTCAGTTGGAATCATAGTTTATAAAGGCTTCGTCAAACAGAACGCGTGCTTAGCGCAGCGTTGTAACGTCGCGCTCTTTTCTTGTCACACAAATTGACTAGATGAGTCCAACGCTCCTTGTCGTAACGCATTCGCCAAATCATAGTGCATTTCGATAGCAGTGTGAAAATTTAAAAGTATTAAGATGTCGAGTGATTCAGATGTTGCATTGTATAAGCATGACTATTTTCTAACTAATTCTATCAATTTTTCGTGGATTATCCAGTATTTTAATACACATTTACTCGGACGCTAAAATGATTTTTTTTTTAAATTACAACGCCTGACTTCAAAACGTTCTAACGCCGCGACAGAGCGTTGCGTAAGTACGCAATAAGTATAGCGCTGGTGCTCTGTTTGACAGTTTATTACCATAATAGTACAACACATCTCGGCGTCATAGCGCGCCATCAGTTTAACGTTCTGACGCGCGTTAAGTACGCGTTCTGTTTGACGAAGCCTTAAACGTATCATTTAGGAAGCCGCTTCAACAATCTTAGTTACAAAGTTCAATTGTCATCATAGCATATAATTCTCACAGTTCTAAACGTCACGCTATTATCACAAACATTACGTATAGTCCAATGCTGACATGAAAGTTTCTCGGTGCTGAAGCTTCCATTGGAGGCCAACCGTCACTCCAGGGTCCACGAACCCCGGCCTCTGGTCACATTGTCGTCATCATTTCTATAATTATTCACTCTCAATAAAACACGATACAAATTAATTCCAATAACAGTGAGGCTTGTGTTATTGAGATTGATTAAAACATACACCGAAACTATCACCCCGATGGAAGTTAAAGACTTGATCAAAGACCTACGTCCTCGCAAGGCTCCCGGTTCCGACGGTATATCTAACCGCGTTATTAAACTTCTACCCGTCCAACTCATCGTGATGTTGGCATCTATTTTCAATGCCGCTATGGCGAACTGTATCTTTCCCGCGGTGTGGAAAGAAGCGGACGTTATCGGCATACATAAACCNTAGTAGATTCATTCGCGAAACAATTGCTCTTGAGTTGTTAGGTCTCCTTCGGGGGCGCTCGGGCAGTTGTTAGCAAATCCCATCCCTCTTGGCTGAGCCTTTGCTCGCCCACCTGTCCTGGTGAAACTGGAAAGGCCTTCGGGCCACCAGTAAACATTCAATCATAAAAAAAAAAAAAAAACACCGAAACTAGATACATAGAAACATTAAACACTTTTAGTGTAAGGGCATCACATAGACTTTCCTCAAGGCTTTACACACAAAAACTAATTCCAGAGACTACAAAACATTTTTCTGTAAACACGTCTCACTAAAATATAACATATTATCATACATTCAGATTATATTTTTCTTACTGATGTCCGTATGGGTAGGTACCATCAACCCTGCCTATTTCTGCCGTGAATGGGTTTCGGTTTGAAGGGTGAGGCAGCCGTTGTACTATACTGAGACTTTAGAACTCATATCTCAAGTGGTGGCATTTACGTAGTAGATCTCCGTAACCACTTAACACCAAGGGGGCCATGAACTTGTCCACCCATCTAAGCAATAATAAATATATTATTTGAAAATGATTTAATGCATACCGAGATTCTGCATTTGGTGCTGGCTGAGAACAACGTACGGATTGTTAAGAGCAGGATCTTCTAAGACTCCGCGGTGAAGTTGTTCTAGATGCCTTTCTGTATCATCTAAAAATTAGAAATTAAATTCTTCAACTGAACATAATAGCCTACCAGAACTACTAACCTAGAATCTACCCACTTGTGTAAAGCTCTCCCTCTTTATGAACGGTTAGCTGGTAGATAACTCAATTGTTGAGTTAAGCTCGCCATTTTATAGCTTTTCGCAATAATTGTATTGTATTAACTGTGTGCACAATAAACAATAAAGAATAATTTGGCTGTGTGGTGTTTAAAATATTAACATCCGAACTCTTCTCGTTAGTAGCGTAAAAACGACTACGGGATATACCAAAAAAGGATAAAGCTCTTTGCTTATTACTCCGGTATATAACGATCACATTTAGTGGATCTATTATAAGCCCGCATGGGTAGGTACGCGAAGAAGTAACGTGTTGTGGTTTGAAGGTTGGAACAACTGTTATACAATATGTTATTATATTTGAGACTTCAATCTCACACGTCAAGGAGGCAGGATTTACCTTTTGATTTCTATAACAAGATTTCTAATTTCTATAACAATATTGGGCCCTACCCAATTATTCAACAATTGATTTCTTTGAACTTAGTGCAACTTTACGATTAGTTGAGCGTGCAGAAACTTAATAACACGGTTAGATATGCCGTCAGAACTTAGCAATCAGATGTTACAAAAAATTGTAAACTTACATGTGACCGGTGTAGTTGTAGGCGGTTGACTCGTAGTTGATGTTGTGGTTGTAGTTGTAGTAGTAGTGGTTGTAGTAGAAGTGGTTGTCGTGGTTGTTGTTGTTAGAACTGAAGGATAGAATATAGTGTAAATAGTCAAAACAGATTTATCTAATAAATATGGATTATTAAAACTAGTTTCGAGAAAGCATACAAGATGCTTAGTCGGTTCAATGGTTTTTATTTTGTACTTTCCTCGAAATTCAATACTCACGATGTAAAAACAATTCCGCCTGGGCTTTCCCAAGCGTGTTTTCGACGTGACATCTGTAAGCTCCAGCATCTTCTATAGACATGTCAGTCACAACTAAATTCACCGTATGTCGATATCCTCTTGAACTAATACTCAATCTATGTTTTGTACCTATAAAATGAAATGAGTATTTTCATCGTTCATTCCACTATACCGGATTTGAATTAAATTTGAAGAATTGAAAAAATGTTTATTTTAATCTAATCTTATATAATATTTTATATCGTGAATCACTTTTATGTCAAGCGGTCAAATAAGCATAATGTAGTTATAATATAAGTTCATAATATTATGATCTTAATGCCAATTTCCCTTAAGACTCATACATGTATTGATTATCTATTCACGAATGAAGAGAATAAATAACAATATCAAACTGGCAAAAAATAGATAGTTAATTACTGATAGTAGATAATGTTAAGGATAACAGTAGCGCTGTGGTAGGCTATTAGTGTTTTTCCTAAATTTTTTTGGGGTAAAGCAACAGTGTATATGTTTTAAAGAGATGGATAGTCATTATTCTAATGAAATAGAGATTTTGACGACACTTTTCAGAGTGAGAGTAACGGGATGCTTTATTTGTGGACCCTGATAATCACTTGATTATAAGATCTATGCAAAAACGCTTATCATATGTGACCAATGCAACTCTACTAGAAATAAATCCTCACCGTTTACAAGTCGTTGTTCCCCATTTAGTGTCCAATATACACCTGGATGCGGAAATGCTTCAGCTGTACACTGAAGAGTTACAGCACCTCCAGCTGGTGCTCTTACAGCTACACGACCAGCCCATACTGATGGCCCGACTATAATAAAATTATATAGCACTAATATTATTGCTCACATTTCATTAAAATAATAAAGCGTTTTATTAGCCTGATCGAACTATTTTAAAAGTATTACAAATTATTATTGATGGGGTTAGAGGCACGAGTAAATCAGCTAGTTTCACAAAAAAAAAACCAATAAAAATAAATATATCTGCAATAATAAAGATTTTATCAACTTTTTTCGTTTAAGCGCTCCTCCTGTAATTCTACGAATTCGGAGTTAGCGTAGTGTTCATTGGAGGCATCGATTTTATCTTTGTGCATATACAACATTATAAATACGAGTATTATTTCCAAAAAAAATCTAAGAAAGTTATTGAACCGAGAAAATAAATAAGAAATTTACCTGCTCTCCCCAGTCACGTTCTCTATTAAAAAGAACCCATGCAAATAGTCAAAGGCCATGTTCTACAAATTTTAGTTTCACATCGAGCATATTTTATAGAATTTTAGACACAATAACTATTTTAAAACTCACACATAACGTTGATTAGAATCCGCTTGCTTACTGAAGGAGGCACGCCATTTGTGGCGATGCACAGATATGCGCCAGACGATGCTCTCTCGACTCCGGTTAGATTCAACCACGGACTGTTCCATTTGGAGACTTGAACAAAGGACAGGAAATTGATGCATTCATACATTGTTCTACAACAGAATTGTTGCATCAGAGACATACATATCTATGTGTTACGCATTTATTGTATTACCTCTGTGTACTATATTATCTATACTAATATTATAAAGAGGAAAGATTTGTTTGTTTGTTTGTCTTGAATAGGCTCCGAAGCTACTGAACCGATTTGAAAAATTCTTTCACTGTTTGGAAGCTACACTATTCCCGAGTGACATAGGCTATAATCTTTTTTGAAAAAAAAATTGGGATCCTTACTAAAACTCCAATAATGTAACCCAAGGTGTAAAAAAAATACCTAAAATATTTTTTACATCGAAAATTATTGATGATAGAATAAAATAATGTACTACGACTTTGTAGAACACATTATTATATACAAAAAGTGTCGCGACAGCATATGTCTAACTATGATAGTTATGCCGCAATAAGTGTTATTTTATTTAAAAAAATAAAACAACGTTAAGTATCGTTGAAATTTTTGTTAAAGACCCGAGCGAAGCCGGAGCCGGCCGCTAGTAATCTAATAAAATTTCAAACGGAAATATATTTGTTTTCGTTTACCAAGTAATACAAATCGAGGATCATTAAAGAGATTTTGTTAGAATATTAATATAATTATGACAAACCTCGCAAAATTAGCACAATTTCCCTTAATTCCCCAAACAAACAATCGTTTTATTTAAATTCGCTCTGAAATAGCCTTTATCTGGCATTCGCACTACTGTGGCTCGGCAAACATACAATGCGGAGCTCAGCAAAAACTGTCACAGTAATGCACACAAGTTGTCGCCATTCCAACAACTAACTACGGCCATACAAAGGAGAAACTTTTGTGGCTGCGGTTATAAATTGAATGTAAACTCTTATTTGCATTGTACGCTTAAACAAACTGAGTACAAAACTGCAGAGTATTATTATACTTGAGACTTTCTAAGTATTGGAACATCAAGTGCTTGTTTCAAGTTACGTTGGTAGAGACGTAGTCGGTTTCTTGTTATCTGCAAAATCACTTCGAGGTAGAACTTTGGAGATGTTTTCGGATTGTTTTGTTTATAAGCTACCACCAATTACAGTTAATGCTCCATAATAATAGCTGTAACATTATGCTTTGCTTTTGGGAATTATAATTGTGCAATATTGTTTAATATAATACACCAAATGCCGAAATATTTTGGACAGCTTAAACAAAGGTTAATTCTGATCTTACGATATGTGTATTTACATAAAATGCGAGGAAAATTTTATATGGAATTGTTACTTTTTGTTTTAATGAGTGAACGAAATCACGGCTTAACCAATACAAAGCTACCGCATAAAATAGAAATTGGGACTGTAATGACGCCACCCATCCAGAAACATATTCTGTTGCATAACGATAGTTCAAGCTTCAATGTATGAGCGTATATTCGGAGTAGAAATAATCAGGATTCTCGTCCCGAATAATCTCAGAATATGCTTTCGAAATTTTTTATTGATTATTAACTTTATACGGAAAAATTCTACCTGTGATGAGCATAAAAGAAATCCTTCCAAGAAAATTCCGAATTGCCTCTCAATGAAGGTTTTTTTGGGATTCTTGAGCTTGATACCCACACTAGACTTCCGGAAGATTATCGCAAAACGACTCACACGTGTATTAACGACTGAACGAGGATAATATCATTACTTGAAGAGCATTAGAGGCTTTTCGGTTGTCCTGAATTAAGATTGATTCATATTAGTAGACGTAGAAACTACGAATAAAGACTTATTATTTATTCGTAGCGTAGAAATATAGAAATTCGAAAAATTATATATAAAATCAATAAAGCGGCTATTAGAATTTGTTTGGAAATGACGAAAGCTTCTGTCGCTGTCGATAGTTGTTGATTTTATGGACTAGACCAAAACTTTTGATCAAAAGTTTCTTGTAATTAAGGTGGTGGTAGGACGTATTATAAGTCCGCACGTGTAGGTGCCACCATCCTGCTCATTTCTGCTACGGAGCGTAAAAATTAATTTGAGATATTCACCTAATGTTTGGTTATCTATTTTGAAGTGTCTAGAGTCTTCCCTTCTCCATGTGATGCTGGGAAGTGGGGTCCCGGTGGCGATACAGCGTAACGCCGCATTTTCTCCTTCTTTTACAAGTACCTCACCACTGCTTGCGTCATCGTCAATATCTGGTGGAACTGGTGAAAAAACAAACATCATTGGCTCTTCTTTACACAAGATCTTACAAGAACAGAATCTGGTTCGGAGAACATGAAAATGGTGGCCTACCTACCATACGTGCTGCTTATTTCTGCTGCAAAGATATCATGCGTTCCAATGTATAGGAAAGAATAACTTCTGTTTCTCTATATCTGAGATTTCGATTTATGGTCGAAACCTTGATGGGGGCATTTTTAGTATGACATCTATGGCCTAAGCTTAGGTGTGCTCTCAGCTTTTCTACACTAATTAGGATTTGTATAAAATATAAATTGTTTTGAACATTATATTTTCTTGATAGATTGTCGAGAGTTGTAGACATCATCATAATTACTTTATACGGTTTATTATTATCGTTATTTCCATCCTTTTGATGTCATTACCGTTTTCGTGGTCACGGATGACAAACCTTCAAAAACATGCTTAGAAATTGGTTTTTGCTCTTTCATGACAACAGTATAGCATAAATATTATTGTTGCCTATTTTCATAAAGTAACACGTGCGTGCTTAAATGATTTTAAATGCTCAAGTTTTCAAACATCAATTCAATCAATTCATAGAAATATGTAGGTTATTTTACGATCGTTCCTACTAACTGTCACTGGGGAATTTTACCGAATAACTTCCTGCTGCCAAAATACGATATGTAACAGCTTATAAGTAGGAAAACCGTCTGGCAGTGATAGCATCAATATGTTAATGAAAATAAAGCCTATAATAAGCGATGTAGCCAAGACATTGTCTGCGTCAAGTATGAGCGAAAGACACAAAACTCTGTATATGTCTATAATATATGGGACTTTTTACTAAGACTATATTCTAGAACAATATTAAAGAAAACATACCGACAACTTGTAGCAAGTGAGTCTGACTCATCATTGGTTCGGTGTTAACTTGACACATGTATCGTCCGCCGTCAGCTGGGCCGATTTCTTTCAGGCCTAATGTCCAGGCGCCGTCGCCATGGCTGACGCTGATCCTGTGGTTCTTGGTGATCACGTGTCCGGCTATTGTAAGTATAGTTTGCGTGTCAACGCGAAGCCATGCGACCTTTTGGAAGATAAAGTTAAAAAAATTATGCATAAATTTAGATTTAAAATTATTTTTGAAGTGACCGATTTATTTTTCGGTTAACTTTCAATGCAATCGCTATTGTACAATGAAAATCACATTGAAAGTAATTGTTGTATACATTAACGCAATAAAATAATTCTTATTTATAGTGGGGTATATGAAAACCGCGTAGTACGGTGTTCGTATACAAATTTTATGTTTTTCTCCAGCGAGGAAGTCCGGTGTTCAATTTTAAAGTTTTTTTTATTACCTCCATACGTAGACGAGCATACTGTCCACCTTATGATGAGCGGTTACCGTCACCCATGGATGTCAATAATAGCAGGGGCAGAACCAAGCCGCTGCCTACCGTTCAGTATTCTGCACAAACTTCGTTTGAAGAAAAACATGTCATAACGCCCGGGAAACACCGTGGAGGGGAATTCATTCCAAAGCCGGATGGTACATGGCAAAAAAGATCTCTGAAAATGCGCTGTGAATGAACGCAATGGTTCTAAGTAGTATGGATGGACACTCTACTCCGGTGGCGGGCGTTGCGATGGTAAAAACGAGAAGATGGGATCATCTCAAACAATTCCTCAGAGAAAACTAAACGAAATGGAAACGTGTACATGAAATCGGCACGCAGTTTCCTATAAACGACCTATTAAATGATATTCCGCTATATTATAAGTGTAATGTGATTTCGATTATCGTTAAACATTTACGCGGTAGTGTAGAAGAATATTTCGGTAAGACATTTCAACATTTTTTGGCCTTAATGTTTCAGTGAGTTCGTGGTCCATTTGGTGTTTAGTTTTATACTTAGCAGAGAACATCATGCCGAGGTCTGAATTTCGTAAGGACTGCCCCACACCTTGAATCGGATTTGCACAGTTGTTTTGCGGCAGAAACAGGTGTGTATATATTTTTTTCTATCTAAGCTGATAGCCTTGAGAGGCTATGTCAGCGTAATTTTAACTAGTAGGTGAGCTCACGAGGCTCAAACCTGACGACGTTGCTAACACGAACCCTAGCAAGAGCCGTGCTTCGCAGAATCTACCACCGGATCGGAAACGCGACCCACTGAGAAGATCCGGCGAGAAACTCAGTGGGCTGTGTCTGTGGGTTAATTTGCTCGTCGAGCCCTTCGTCGCAAGCGACGGGTTCGACGAGAACGATGACCGGATGTATCACTTATCCGTGCTGCATAACAACACTTCCTAGGATTTCTAGTGTTTTTACAAATTTACAATCGCATCGATTTGATACGAGATAAGTAACCCCCCGTTCTGACTTTCGGCTTTATTGAAACAACTTTTACAAACAATGATAAACTTATAGCGTAGGCTTACTAAACAAAAAATATTTTACCTTTATCGAACAATGAAAAGCAATAGCAAAGCTTATGAACTTAAAATCAAAATAAATAATAAAAGACGTGATTTTTAAAGGTGTTGTTACGTAAAAGAATTGCTATGTTAGCTTTCATAATGCGTTTCAATTTGAAGGGTGGGGCAGCCGCAGTAAGTATACGAACCCATCGCTTGCGACGAAGGGCTCGACGAGTGAATTGACCCACAGACACAGCCCACTGAGTTTCTCGCCCTATCTTTTCAGTGGGTCGCGTTTCCGATCCGGTGGTAGATTTAGCGAAGCACTGCTCTTGCTAGGGCCAGTGTTTGGCACCGCAGTAAAAAGTTTAGTTGCAAAGCAACAGAGCTGTCATTTATATTTTCATAATTATTACTGGTGATTCGTGCGACGATAGTTCGTCCCTCAGTTTAAATATCGGATCCCTTGAGTCGTGTAAGACATTAGGCCTCAATTGGCAGACAGCCACAGATGAGCTTTCTTTCTCTGTCGATTCGTGTGAAGCCTCGCTTTCTACGAAACGCTCTATGCTTTCTGTCACTGCATGCATTTTTGATCCCATGGGGTTAGTTTCTCCCTGCATCGTTCATATTAAAATATTATGGGTATGGCTATGGGTTCATAAGTTATCATGGGACGAAGAGCTCCCATTTGAAATAGCCATAATTTGGGCTAATATAATTAAAAGCCTTCCGCTTTTAAATAATTTGCGCATCCCTCGCCTTATTGTTTGCGAGGCTTGTACTTACGTGGATCTCCACATTCTTACAGATGCGTCGCAAAGCGCCTATGGTGCTTGCCTTTACGCGTGAAGCGCGAACGTGTATCGACGAATCAAGGTCGCGTTACTTATGGCCAAGAGTAAAGTGGCTCCATTAAAGCCAACGACGATTCCTCGGTTGGAGCTCTGCGGGGCTCTGGTAGGAGTGCGCCTCTATGAGAAGACTATTGATTCGCTCCGGGTTCAGGTCAGGCATACTACTTTTTGGACTGACTCGACGATTGTGTTAGGCTGGCTTAAAATGTTGCCTAGTAAATTACAGCCTTTCGTTCGCAATCGTATGGTGGAGGTCATGGAGAAAACTGTGAACTGTACCTGGTGTCATGTTCCCACTAATGAAAACCCTGCTGATCATATTTCTCGCGGCGTCGAAGTCGTAAATTTGCAGGGTCTAGATCTGTGGTGGTCAGGTCCTCAATTTCTGCAGCAAGACTGCTCTCAGTGGCCTTCCAATCCAGTCCGGTACAGCGAGTCCAAACTCCCTGAAGTTCGTCCTGAAGTCTCGTTGCATCTTTCAGTTCCACGTGATGATTCATTTATTGATTTCAGCCGATTCTCAAACCTATCTCGACTAAAACGTGCTGTAGCCTATGCATTGAGATTCATAAATTTATGCAGAAAGCTATATCCCCAAACCAGCCATTTAAGCTCTAAAGAGTTACAGAACGCTTTGAACTTGATTATTAGGAAAGCTCAGTCTGAGTCGTTCGTCGAATACAAGCTCCTAACTCAGGGACATTCGTTATCTCCTAAAAGTTCCCTCAACAAGTTCAATGTCTTTCTTGATGACGTTCAAATTATGCGTGTTGGTGGGAGGTTTGCAAACGCGTCGGAGTTTTCGTATGAGAAAAAATGTCTTATAATCCTACAGTCCACTCACTTTCTCACAAAACTCGTATTCAAGGCTGAACATATTAAGCTTATGCACGCTGGACCGCAACTATTATTAGCTTCTTTAAGAGAAGTCTACTGGCCTATTGACGGTCGCAATTTGGCCAAGGCCACTTACCATAATTGTATAAGATGTACTCGCATGCGAGCACAAACAGTTACTCCTCTTATGGGAAATTTACCTGTGCACCGCCTCACTCCTGGTCGCCCGTTCGAGTGTGTAGGCATCGACTACGCTGGACCCATCTCGTCCGCTAACCGCCTTGGTCGAGGTTGTAGAATCGTTAAGGTCTACATCGCGATTTTTGTATGTTTCAAAACAAAGGCGATCCATATCGAATTAGTAGGTGATTTAACCAGCAATAGTTTTCTCTCTGCGCTACGCCGGTTTGTATCGCGGAGAGGTAAGCCTACTCATATATATTCGGACAATGGTACGTCATTCGTCGGTGCGTATAAACAAATCGGTACATTCTTAAAATCCAATTGCAATTCTTTGCCTGATGCTTTGATCGAAGAAGGTATTAACTTCCACCTGTGTCCACCTTACTCTCCTCATTTTGGGGGTCTTTGGGAGGCGGGGGTTAAATCTATTAAATTCCATATGCACAGAGTATTGGGAAATTGTAATTTAACTTATGAGGAATTGATCACTGTCCTAACGCAAATCGAAGCAATATTGAATTCTCGGCCGCTGACTCCACTATCAAGCGATCCCGATGACATGATGCCGCTTACTCCTGGGCATTTTCTCATTGGCCAGCCCCTTACTGCAATGCCTGCTGCTGAGTACAAGGACTGCCGGCTAAGCAATCTCACCAGGTTCCAGCGGTTAGAGCTTATGCGACAACATTTTTGGGCCAGATGGTCAAAGGAATACATTAGTGAGCTGCAGCAAAGAACAAAATGGCGCACCAACCAGTCATCGCTGAAGCTTCACAGCCTGGTTGTGGTGAAGGAAGACAATCTCCCGCCACTTAAATGGAGACTGGGCCGCATAGTAGCTGTCTATTCAGGGTCCGACGGAGTCAACCGGGTCGCAGACATTCGTACCTCAAGCGGAGTCATCAAGAGGTCTTTTAATAAGATTTGTCCCCTGATTGCGGATTAGTTTTGGGTTGAAAGGAAACCTTTCAACATGCGGGGGCATGTTTGGCACCGCAGTAAAAAGTTTAGTTGGAAAGCAACAGAGCTGTCATTTATATTTTTATAATTTTTAAATTTTGTTTCTAAAGTCAGTAAGAATAAACTGTCAGCCATGAAAGTTGCATCATAATTTTTTTTTATTGTAAAAATCTTCCTCCTAACAAATCCAAAGATAGTAGATTATTAATCTAAATAAGAAACCGTCCGCTACAGCCAGTGTTAACAACTTCTCAACAGTCGAATGGTTCGCGAGACGCTCTGTCTCTTTTCTCACTCTCGCTCTTCCTAAATTGTATTTTTTCTCTCTATCCGTAACGAATCTGTCGCGAGTTAAATTTTACTTTCAACGCGTCTAAAGAAGTTTCACTTCAAAAAGCAAGTAACGATATTCTCTTTGTGATGTGTTTGGGCCACAATGACCACTTAACACCAGGCGAATCGTAAGCTCGTCGGTCCGTGTAATACAACTAAACACACCATTGCCTCAGAAAGCATTACCTATCTACGAACATAGCACAGCAAACTTTCTCACCACCGAAAATTGAAAACGAACTAATTAACACAATGCTATCGAGAATCTGATCGGAAAACTTTACTCAATAGTAAAATACTAAGATTTCCTTCGACGAATGGCGAAACTTAAATAATAAATATTGAGCAAGAGCCAATAAACGTAGTTAATTAAACCGACTTTATGAAAGCTCGGTGTTCTATTGTGAATAAATTAAGCGCCACGCCGTAATACTTGTTCGGTTTTGTTTTAAAATAATCTCAATTATTCATTGAGAAAAATCAATTTATCATCAAACAGGAAATACTTTGAATTTTTTTTTTTCGTGTATTACTCGAGTAATTTTTTTTCACTTTCCCAAAAAAAAAATCTGATCCACATTACATTCATAATGTTACTGATTAAACTAGATTTCAAAAAGCATCTGTTGTATATTTTTGGTGCCGACAAAGCGCTCGAAGCTTTAAGCTTAGTGAAAATACATATGTTTGTGTTTAAAAATTTCACCTTGAAAGATTGTAGGTTATCGACTTGACATGTCAATGATGCATCTCTGCCCACTGCAACAGTAACATTTGAGCCAGCACCCACAAATTTCGGAAGATCTGAAAGAAAAAGAACAAAGGTTAAATAAAAGAACATTTTTTTTATTGCTAGATGGGTAGACGAGCTCACAGCCCACCTGGTGTTAAGTGGTTACTGGAGCCCATAGACATCTACAACGTAAATGCGCTACCCACCTTGCGATATAAGCTCTAAGGCAGTCTAAGGTCTCAGTATAGTTACAACGGCTGCTCTATCTTTCAGACCGAAATGCATTACTGCTTCACGGCAGAAATCGGCAGGGCGGTGGTACCTACCCGTGCAGACTCACAAGAGGTCCTACCACCAGTAAAGAGATAGATAGATAGATAGCCCATAGATATCACAACTTGAATGATGACGCCCAACTTGAGACATGAGTTCTAAGTCTCAAGTGTAATGTTCGTCCCACAGCTCAAATCGGAGAGCATCACTGCTTCGCGGTGGATACCAATAGGGTAGTTATTAATTATACACAATTATTTTATTTGTCAATTCTAGATACGCAAAAACTATGCACTCAAGTGTGTTCAGAAGCCGTAATCAGGGTCAAGTCAAATGCGACATCTCCAAACCGCACATAAAAAAGATAAGTGACCTAATATATTATAAACTGCCCACGCATATTCAATTGCAACACTCGTGAATAAAATAAATTATTGAATTTTAAATCATAGGTACTTAACGGCTTTAAACCTACAAGACTTAGATGAACGACACAGTTTATACCTACTTAAATATTACGAGTACAATTATTACATAGCTCTTCATTTACATACATAATTACACTAACAAAAAATATGTGCATAACTAGAACTGAGGCTAAGATTTTCTACTAAATGTACACAACATAAACAAAAACATAAACACGAAACGAAGTATCGATTGAAATTACTACGAATATCAAGTATATTTGAGGTCGTCCGCGCAAACATGGCCTAAGCTTATCGTATCGTATGTCGTAAGCTTACCATAGTTAATATGGAGATCATTTACTGGTGGTAAGACCTGTTGTGAGTCCGCGCGGGTAGGTACCACCGCCCTGCCTATTTCTGCCGCGAAGCAGTAATGCGTTTCGGTTTGAAGGGTGGGGCAGCCGTTGTAACTATACTGAGACCTTACAACTTATATCTCAAGGTGAGTGGCGCATTTACGTTGTAGATGTCTATGGGCTCCAGTAACCACTTAACATCAGGTGGGCTGTGAGCTCGTCCACCCATCTAAGCAATAAAAAAAAAAAAAAAAAGTTTTACACTGCTTCGTAGGCTAAAACAATACGCGCAAAAATAATGTTTACAAAGGTATCTGTTATCTATAGGTGAAACTAGGGATAGGCCAGTTTGGCATCAAAACTTCTCTTATGTTTTGAATAAATTGCAGTATATAAATACGAATATGACAATTTGTGGGCTAGGCCACTTTTGCGGTGAAGGTCAAGGGGCGACCTGAGGGGGTAGAGGCCGCGCGGCGCGCTACCAGCCCTCCAGCGCGCTGCCAAGGAGTAATAGAGCGACCGGTTGGCGGTGTATCGCGTCCCGACCCGGCAGGTTAGTTCTGGTCCAGCGGGATATTCCGGGACACCAGCGGCACCGTCTGGGCGGCCTGACGGGCTGCCGTACCGAGACGGCTGACGTTTCAGAGCCTTCAATTCGCCTCGAAGGCTCCGTCGGCTGGGCGTCCTTGGGGTGAGCCGCGCCGTCTGGTTGTAGTGTTGACCGCGGTAATCCCCCTACCTCATCCGGGTTCTGCCCTCGGAGGGGATCGGACGTCGGGTGTAAGAGTGCAGGGGAGTCGTTTAGTGGGTGGACCCTAAAATCCTTGCGTGCGGTTTGCTCACAACACTATGCAGATCGTTGAGTCTCACATACTCCGCGCGCCTCTTGTGCGCGGGGACCTCGTAGGAGGTTCTGACCCCGGCCCGAAAAAAAATAAAAATAAAATGAAAGGCTAAGTAGCCTTGCGCTGACCGCTTCATTTATAAGGGCACTTATTGCGGCTACATCATACAGTAATCAGTTATTAGAAGACTGAAAGTGATAAAAATATTTTATGTACCCTAAAGCTAAACGCGGTTATCCTATAGTAAAACGCATTAGATGATGTTGACCGAAATTGACTAGTGCGGTGTACACTGCACTCTGAACTAAATCAAATTACTAAAACTAACCGAAATTCAATGTGGGACGGATTTTGGGAATAGAGGTTTCATGAAACGCACACGTTGCATATTCATTGAATTATTTGTTTTGTGGTTTTTTTGGTGCCTAACGATTAATGTTTAAAACAATTTTGTTATTAAGGGTTGAAAGCGGTAGTCATAGGTTAGGATCGACCTATTTTTGTATTGCTTAGTTGGGTGGACGAGCTCACAGCCCACCTGGTGTTAAATGGTTACTGGAGCTCATAGACATCTACAACGTAAATGCGCCACCCACCTTGAAATATAAGTTTCAAGGTCTCAAGTATAGTTCCAACGGCTGCTCCACCCTTCAAACCGAAACGCATTACTCCTTCACGGCAGAAATAGGCAGAGTGGTGGTACCACCAGTACTAATTGAAAGAGACAACTGTTATGAAATACAGCGATGACTTAGACATGCTGTCTCAAGGTGGATAATGGTATTCACGTTGAGATGTCTATGAGCTACGACTATTCATAATAATTTGATCAAAAAGGCTAAATCAAGTAAGCAAAAAAAAAAAGCGAACATCATCTTCATTATTCAATGATAAACAGGAAAATAAGAAAATGATAAATATGTTGTCACTAGCAATATAAGAAGAGAAACGAATGGGTCCCGAGACAACGCCAGCGAACGTATGAACGAAATGTTCTGAAAATGCATTAGGGAGCATTCAGCGCGTCCGATCTCGATCGTTATAGTTTTCTCATTTTCCAAGATATGAGTTTGTTCATTCGTGGAAATAGAAAAGTATTTGTTGTGCTCCGCGAATTCGTTTTCCGAATAAGTACCGAAAGGAGAAATCGAATTGGTTTCGCTACTTCACTTTCAACTATAGTTATTTAATGCGAATACAAGTAGTCAAGGAGACTCCGCGAAAGGGTTGGACGATATCTTGAATCGTGTAGAGTCATACTATTATTTTATTATTATTTTCTTCTGTTTTTTTTTTCTCAGCAAACGCTGGTATGTATTTATTATTTACGGGCCTTAGCTAAATAAATAATAAGGAATAAATATTTTAATGTCCGTTACTTGAGTTTTCTTCTGTTTCTAAAAACTTACGAACAGTTCTACAGTTCTAATATAGCATTATTATTATTATTTTTATTATTACTTGGATAGTTAGACGAGCTCACAGCCCACCTGGTGTTATGTGGTTATTGTACCCATAGACATCTACAACGTAAATGCGCCACCCACCTTGAGATATAAGTTCTAAGGTGTATAGTTACAACGAAGGGTGGGGCACCCTTCAGAAATTAGAATGTTTTTTTAGGTGATATAATTAAGTACCACCATTGAGTTATTTGAAGAATAAAGTATTCGTTCGTCCCAACCTAAAGGGTTTGACAGATACAAAACGGTTAAAGTGTCCACTAAATGTACTATTAGTACGTACTCTATTATGATTTTCACTCATTTTCGTAAAGCATGTTGTGATATTTACTTTGACAATTGTCATATCTGAGAGTTCTGATAATTTTCACTATGAAAAAGAAGTCTGCTTATCTACATTCTCTAATTAGCAGAAGTTCTAACATAATCTGATTTTTTTATAATAGTTTAAATTTTAGGCGATTGGACGAGCTCACAGGCCACGTTTTGTTAAGTGGTTACCGGAGCCCACATACAACTGCAACGTATATGCAGACACCCACAGTTGCAGCAGTACGACGCAATTACTGTTTCATGGCAGAAATAGGCAAAGTGGTGGTACCTACCCGTGCGAACTCACAAAACGTCCTACCACCAGTAATACGAATTAAAGCTTCGTTCTCTACCATTCACGAACTATCAATTCACGAATGTCACGATCACCTTAATCCTTCCTACCTTCATTCTAGTAATCTGCAAAGATCCAAACACGATTACAACACCCCGAAATTCCACGTTAACTCCCCAACAAAAGTACAACGAGAACTCTATAAACTTGAACAATCATACGCCTCTACCTCCGGTTACGGCGCCATTCAACTAGGCAAAGTAAGAAAGTTTCCTACATCCACTAAATTAGTTCTGATTTAATTTGTGGACCCTGCAGGAGCCCAGGGATTAAAGGTATAGTCACCTTCGTGATTTAAGTAAGATTACGAACTCTACATTAAGGAAAGATTGGATGCTCTGCTAAATATATATCATTATTTATTTATTTTCACCTATCAATAAAAATAATCGTATTTCTTATTTCAATTACAGAACCAAACAATTGAATTTGCTTAAAGCTCTTATGCTCTACTATTCATATTGTGAACCCACACGGGAATGCCCATAACCCTACTTTTATTGGAACACAGCCAATTTCAGTTTGAAGGGTTGGACGGCTACTATTCAAGGCGATCACGACCAGTATTTTAATCTTGAAACACGTAACTACTTAATTTACTTAATACAGTAATTACTTAATGGTTTGGAGTCCACGTTGTTATTCCTTCATTGTCAATTGTTTTTCCCTGCCTGCGGTATCCCTGGGTGGGATGCCTGGGTGCATCAAGCGATGGATAGATATGATGACCTCAAAGCTTTGTTCTATGCGTTCCCAAAAGTTTACGGTACTGGTGGTGGGCGTTTCAAGGATTCTATAGATTCAGAAATACGTCGTAGCAGAAATAGGAAAAGAACATATGACTATATTATGTACTACTTACGGACTTAGCTACGGTGCAAGAGGATCGGAATGCTACAACGAGTTGGACCCATAACCTCGTAAAATACCTTATTGGAAGATATAACTAAAGAATGTCCGGTCCGATATTAGTTCCGGTTGGCATCTTATATAAATTCCAATAACAAAAAATTGGACATAAAACAGGTGACTATTTTATATTTAACGAAACGTG